ATCAATGATGTCCCACTTTACCAATGTTAAAATCTGGTCACCTTAGGGAAGAAGAGCATAGCATTGAAACAGACCTAGAATCAGACACTTAGCAAGCATGTGACCAAACAGCTGAGCATCCACCAGGAGGTGAGCACCCACAGTTCCCCCATCTGGGCCTCACCAAGGCCAAGCCATCATGGCCAAACTCGAGTTTGACAATAAGGTTCCATATGGAACTCTGGAGGCTTCTGAGCTCATCTGTCTGCCCTAAAATGTTAAGTTCCCCTAATTTTAGAGAAACACAAATATGATCACATCATTCCTCTTCTTAAATCCGTTTAGTGGCATCCCATGTCCCTTAGTCTAAGTCTGAACTCCCTTAGTGGACCTAAAGGGATGTAAGCCCCATCAACCACTCCACCTCACCATTCTGCTTCTTTTGCCACATTCTGAGAGAGGATACCCGAGAAGGTTGCAGTCTAGAACAGGTCTTCTCAAGGAGACCACAAGGATATACCTGCAGGATCCTCTCCATGATGACTCAGCTCTTAGGAGTTTGTAAATTTGACTTCCTGAAACTTGGAAATTTCCAAATTCTGTGAAATCCTGTAGTTCTATAGGGGATGGAATAGCATCTCCCGCTTGATTCAAACTGGCAAGGAGAAGGGTACCTGTGGTGTGGAACTTTTTGACTGTGGATAAAAAAGGGAAAGACTAAGCCAATTGGGAAGTGTGGCCATTTGGAATTCTTATATGCCTTAAGCTCCCAGCTGGTGCATAAAGCCCTTCCTCTTATAAACGAGGTGTTTGGGTGCTCTTTCTCTCCGTTGGGCATCGTCTTACTGTAACAATTCCCTCTCACAATTTACATTACAACAAACTCAAACCTCTTAGCACTTCTAAAACATTCAACTCCAAACTTTCTCTTGACCTGACACCTTTATAAATGCTTTTCACCTGCTTCACAGGTAACTTTCAGGTCCTGGATCAAATGGCATATCCTCAGGACGTGTTCCTTGCTTCCTACACGGATCTTAGGTTTCTCTGTGAGTATGTTAAATCACACAATCACCTTGTTTAATGTTTTCTCTCCACTTTTAGCATTATTTATTTCTATAGTGGCAGCAAATGTGACTACTTTGGTCAGAAATACATTCCCAAAGCCCTGCCCAATGAGTGCAACAAAATGGAATGATTTAAAATATATATATAATATATATATTTTAAAAATACTTTAAATATATATTTATATTTATATATTTTAAATATATATATATATATATATATATTTGGAGACAGAGTCTCAAGCTGTTGCTCTAGGTAGAGTGCTGTGGTGTCATAACTCATAGCAACCCTAGGGCTCAAGTGATCCTCTTGCCTCAGTTTTTCTAATTTTTTTTAGTAGACAGGGTCTCACTCTTGCTCAGGCTCATCTCAAACCTATGAGTTCAAGCAATCCATCCACCTTGGCCTCCCAGAGGGCTAGGATTACAGGCATGAGCCACCGCACCTGGCCAATTTAAAAAATATCTTTTAAAGTTAGACAGATATACTGTCCTGCTTAACATGACTGATAAAACGTGTATCTTGAACCCACTTAATATCTTTATAATAAATACCATAAAATAATATATCCTCAAAATTGTTTAATTCAGTAAAATATGGAATATAGGCCACCTAAAACACCATATTCATGTTATTTCTAACTTCAATTGTCTTGATAATATGTAATAAATAAAAATGAAAACAAGACATTATGTTACATCAAGAAATAACTTTATCCAAAGGGAATTCAAATAGAAGATATCTTTAACACCAATTCATATATTAGTAACTTATACACATATTATCAAGTGTAACATCCATAAAAGCACAAAATAGTCTCTCACGATTTCCACCAAACTTCTGGTTCCCCTAAGTGTCACTCCTATGACCATCAATCACACATATAATGGGATGTACTGAAGATGTCTTTCCAGAAAATTTACAAAACGAAAAAGTTAACATAAGTCAAAAGATAGAATAAGCAGCAATGGGGCCTTGAATCTACTTTGGAAAGGCTGCCTAAGATAGTACCAAAGTGAACAGCTGGAAATCCCTGATCAGACTTTAAATTTTTATGGTCTTAAAAGTTCAATTCTTACCACATATGAAGTGACTAGGACAGTTGGTATAATATTTTCTCAGCACAGGCATATTTGAGAAATATTATGTTTATCCAAGGTACTGTCACTATAATATATGTTTATAATATATCTGATTATGTGAAGTATGAAAGTTCAGTTTGGTTAATTTTTCTTTAAATGCATTTTAAGAAAAAAAATGTGAGTGTCATATGTCTGAGGTTGCCCCAGCTACATAGCTGAGAATCTTGAATAAATATTGGCACAACAGGGAAAAGGACTATTTTAATATAAAATGACATTCAATCAGCATGCAATGAGGTCAAGGGCTAAAATTTTACAAACTTTATAAAATGTTAATTTAGAAATTGTATGTGCTTTAATTCAAAACTGAAAAAGGGCACCAATCACTCTAATTTGCTAGAATCACAGCTCTTAAAAATAATAGCATCTACTGATGAATCTGATCAAGAATTAATAATTCATAGGCCGGGCATGGTGGCTCACGCCTGCAATCCCAGCACGTGGGAGACCGAGGCAGGTGGATTGCCTGAGCTCACAGGTTTAAGACCAGCCTGAGCCAGAGAGAGACCCTGTCTCTAAAAAACAGCCAAGCTTTGTAATGGGCGCTTGTAGTCCACCCTTGGGAGGCTGAGGCAAGAGGATCACTTGAACCCGAGTTTGAGGTTGCTGTGAGCTAAGATGCCACAGCACTGTCTTAAAAGAAAAAAAGAATTAACAATTCTTAAAAAAAAATTTTTTTCAACAGAACAATTCTGGTAAAACCGGAATATAAAATTATGAAGACCAAACCAAATCAATAGATGACTCATTATTTGGCAAAACGAGTGCTCATGACCAGCAGTTCCCCAGTCCCCTTGTACAGGTAACGTGGGTGCTGCTGAGGAGCTGCTGAAGGGGAATGAGGAGCAGACCCAGAGACCCTGGGCCTGGACCCTGCCCTAGCATCAAACGGAGATGCTCCATTTGTTTTTCCATATCCTAAGAATACAGGCAGTCCCCAGGTTACAGATGAGATAAGGTCTGTAGGTTTGTTCTAAAGGTGAGTTTGTATGTAAGCTGGAAAAGGTATGTTTACCTATTACCCATAATAGCCTTGGTTTGTGAGTCATACATCTGTAGAATACTTCTATCTCAGAAACCGCATATACAAAAAGTTTCCTATGATTAAAAGAAAAAAATCTGAAAACTAGAACAATATAGCCATGCTATTACCCACACACGAAATGAATTAGGATATCTGGGACAACTACAGCTCCAAATAACTGGAAGAATGATCTGTTTCCTTCTTCCTTATTGGTAATGTCAAAATGACTTGTTGACTAATAAGCCATACTGTGGAATAGCAGACTCCTAGTTAGGTACCTTCCAGTTAACAGCACATATCCAGAAGCCAGCAAGCAGGAAAGAGGTAGGCAACTCCTCGCCTGGGCTAAAAAAGGATAGCAAGCAGGCAGGTTCCCTCTCAGCCTGACTTTTGCAATGAGAATGTTTCTGAGAGGACAAAGCTGTTCGCAGCTGACAGCTCACTTTCTTCAGACATTGCGGAGGACAAGAGACATGGGCTGAGGTGCAAGTCAATGGCACCGGGTACGTCCACTTTAGGATATGTGACACACACACACAATTTTAAACATGAAATTACTAAAGAGTATTGGCCAATATACAGATATGCATAGTCCTTAGCACACAGGTCCGCAATAAAATGTTACTGAATCTATTCTAAAAGTGTCATGTTCCCTAAGTAATACGTTGTAAAAGGGTAAAAGTCAGAAAAAAAATTCTACTCTAAAAAAAAAAAAAAAGCCTGTCAAGTACACTCTATCTTAATGTAGCAATTAGAAAAGTTATTTTTTGTTTGATTGTTTTCCTCTTTTTAAGTTACAACAGTTTTTATGCATAACACAATACATTCCAGACTTAGGAAAGAGCACACTTAATTAAAATGTAAAATATGACTTTGATTGATAGCTAACTAGAATTATGAGTTTACAAATCACACCAAATTGCCACTTAAAAAAAGGAGAAAATGTCTAAATGAATCTGCACAAATCAATGCATAAGACCTTAGCAAGGAAAGTATAAAAACTGTCTTTTTTTTAATAAGTAAAATCTTTCATTAGTTAGAAAGAAAGGAAATTCTGCATTCCACTTTATGTGTTTGGTCCTCATAGCTTTCCTGGCTAAAGCAGTTATTTCCATTTTAATAAATCTCAGTTAAAATAATCTAATAATGTAGAATCCACTACAATCTGCCATCTATGCATCTACAGAATCCTGAGTGTCACATCAGTCTATGAGAAGGCTGAATCTGACCATGATTACAGTTTTCCAAAATGAAAATAAAATATCTTGAAAAGCAAATAAAAATGGCTTACTTACATGAGGGTATTGACTTATCAATCATACACTTTAAGAATTGAGTATGTATCTTTTCTGCTCAGTTAGTACTTTTCACTAAGTCTCGCGTGAGTGCATGCTATTTTGTAAACCGTAGTGTCTAAACTGCAGCAAAAATCAGATGCAATTAAAGGTAAAAGTACAGAACACAGAGTTCCAGGAACAAATTCAATCTCATCTAATTGAAGAAGCTCTCATAATCAGGTATGGACATTGGCTTGTAAAACATACACTATGGCTCCGCGCCTGTGGCTCAAGCGGCTAAGGCGCCAGCCACATACACCTAAGGTGGCGGGTTCGAATCCCCAGCCCGGCTGCCAAAACAACAATGATGGCTGCAACCAAAAAATGGCCAGGCGTTGTGGCGGGCGCCTGTGGTCCCAGCTATTTAGGAGGTGGAGGCAGGAGACTCGCTTGAGCCCAGGAGTTGGAGGTTGCTGTGAACTGTGATGCCATGGCACTCTACCCAGGGGGACAGCTTGAGGCTCCGTCTCAAAAAAAAAAACCAAAAAACCCAAAAAAAAACATACACTATGAACCAAGTACAGCAATGTACAGATCATATCATGCCAACAATCTTTCATTCTTTTAAGACAAACTTTTAAAAACAGTATTTTCATCATAGGAAAGGAAAAAACAAAAACAACAAAATCAGCTTTTGCTACACTAGTTTCTAATCCAAATAGGCTTCTTGCAATTACTGTAAGTCACTAGCAATCACTGAATTGATTGAGCCAAGATAGACTTGGCACTGCCCGCCCCCCCCCCGCCAAAACCCCCAAGTATAAAAGAATGATTTAAACAGATATAATCTCTATAGAACTAAGTTTACATGATAAATGCTACAAGTGATGAATACACAAAATGACAGACACAAGGTTCCAGGTGAAAGATAGCACTGCTCCACACAGCACAGCAGAACTCTACTGAAGAGGTCACAGCCCCTCTGCTTTCCTCTTATTTGGTAGCTGGGTTCTTGGGAGGAAGGAGCTTGTATGTGTTGAAGTAGCCCACCACCTGCTGGGGAATTTCCGCCAAGACACACTGGGCGAGTGCTTCTTTGGGGGCCTTGTGAAAAAACAAAATCAAAACAACTTTATTAGCAACCGAATTTTTACTGGCTTTTTGAAAGAAGTCCACAGATGCCTCCCCAGCCATTACAAAGCAGTAATTCCCAATCCCTAGGCCTGTATCTTTTATTTATTTATTTATTTATTTATTTATTGTATCTTTTCTTAGAAGCAGTCCACCAAATACGGAATAAGCTCAGTAGCCAATGTTGCTTATAATGATGATTATCACCTCTGCTAACATTTATCAAGCTCATTTTCAGTGGCAAAACATTTCATGATCTTTTTGTTACTGTTCTTTAACTTTTAAGTGTAGGCCTTTCATTCACTTGATATTAAACTTTTCTTACTTTTTATTGTAAAATAATTATAGATTCACAGGAAGCTGCAAAAATGATACAGAGAGGTCTCATGTCCTTTTTACCCGGTTTTCTCCAAAGTAACATTTTATATATGTAACTATAATATGGTATCAAAACCAAGCAACTGACATTGGTACAGTTCACAGACCTTACTCAGATTTCTAGTTTTACATGCATTGCTATTTGTGTGTGTGTGTGTGTAAAATTCTATCCAATTTTGTCATGTGGGAGGATCTGTGTAACCACCACCACAATCGTGGTACAGAACTGTTTCATCACCACAAAGATCTCCAACATTACTGCTTTATAATCACACATACACCCTCACCCTCTCCCTTTGCTGGTGGAAATGTTCAATGGTACGGTATGGTCACTCTGGAAAAGTCTGACAGTTGCTTTAATAATTAAACATGCAACTATCATATGACCCAGCAATTGCACTCCTGGGTATTTATCTTAGAGAAGTAACAACTTATGTTTACACAAAACCCCCTGCATAACAGACAAAACTAGAAACAACTCAGATGTCTTTCAATGGGTGAATGGTTACACAAGTTGGAGTCTATCCATGCCATGGAACAGGTTCAGCAAAAAGAAAAAAAAGCAAAAACTTGGTGGCTCTTGGAAGAATTGTGCTGAGTAAAAAAAAAAGCCAGGCCCCAAAGGTTACATATTATATAATGATTCCATGTGTGCGACATTCTTGAAATGAGAAAATTATATAAATACAGACAGATAAGTGGTTTCCCAGGGTTAAGGAAAGGCTAGAGGTAGAAGCAAATGGATGTGGCTCTAAGAAGGCAACATGAGGAGCTTCGTGACGATGTGTCTTGAGGTGTCAATGTGAATGCCCTGGTTGTGATTCTGATCTAGAGTTTTGCAAGATGTTACCACTGAAGTAAACCGCAATGAGTGATTTTTCTCAGAGATTTTCATCAAACCAAACTTCCAGCTTGGTAAATTATGCATCTACTTACATAGAGCTTTTTCCTGTTGTCACAAAGGTAAAGACGAAATATATCTTAAATATTCACAACAGTTACCATTTCAAACAATTTATCCTATAGACTGCGAAAAGCACACAGTACATACCCTGAAGCAGTGCTCCAGATCCAATCGGAGCTCTCCAGTGGAAAAAGGATGGTGCTCTCGCATCCTCCAACCCCACACACCCAGTCAACTTGCCTGGTGATGGACAGGCAAAGGTCTGTGTTCAAACTTCTTGGCATTTGAATAAGGAGGAGTGATACTCACATTCTGAAACTGTCTGAAAGGCACAAACTGGACAATATCTCTGATGGCCACCTCGCCAGATGGTGAGCGAAGACTTCCATTGTCACCATCCAGAAACTCCATGGCACCGAAGTCAGCACCTCCAACTCCAACGATGATGATGGACATGGGCAGCTTGGCAGCATTAACTATGGCCTGCCTGGTTTCATCAAGGTCTGTGATCACACCATCAGTAATGATCAAGAGTACAAAATATTGCTGCCAAAAAGGGAAAATACGTCCACTGAGCAAGTCAAACTCCCAAGCAATAAAAGCTATGGTGAATGGCAGCTCCATCTGTAGGAGTCACTCAATCTCTATCTTGTTAATTTTCTTTGCCAATCTCTACCAAGGATACCACTTGCATAAAATAGTCTAAGAGTCTCTGATGACAAGGAAATTGACTCTTACAAAAACTGCAGGTTCATTAAAAGTGCAACAAAGCACAAAATAGGGTTGGCAAAACAGACAGAAGCAGGACATCTAAATGTCAAAGATTAACCTTTTAGTAAGCATAGGAATAAACACTTTAATTTGCCTGAACTATTAAATATGTCAAAGTATTGATCAAAGGAGCAAGTAACAACTTCATTCAAAAGATCAAATAAGGCTCGGCGCCTATAGCTCAACCGGCTAAGGCGCCCGCCACGTA